TCAAGTAGGTGGAAATTGTCTGAAAAGTCAGGAATAAGAGCTGGGAGCTGTATTTTAAGGTAGGTAGGTATTCATGCATTTTCATGTGGCTATTGTTTGAAAGTGAATTATATTGTAGCTGTAGCTTAACTTGCTAATTATTTGGAGATATTAACTTCTAGGTAATACAAAACCCCTTTGTAAGGACTGTGTGAAGGTAGGTGGTGTATTAGTGAAGCTGACAAGTTTGTCTTTAATTAGAAATGTCTTGTAAGCTTTCTTAGTTTGGAAGAATTTGGGCCTCTGTAGAGCTGAGTGACAGCAAACTCATGTAAAACAGAGAATTGTTCCACTGTGGTGCAAAATTAAAGGAGGTTAGAGCATTAAAGCTTCAATCCTCAATTTATGCCTGAAGGAGAAATCTCATAAATCTTACGAACTATTTTCCCTCTATATAGTATATCCCAGTATAAATTGCAGAGCTCATCTGTGTTTGTAGCTGCTTGTGAAGCATATTCTCCTCATGTTTTCAGAATTTGGAAGAACAGATGGTGAAAGCTTTGTCTAAATAAACTGACTCCCAACTAGAGCTCTCAACATGAGCAAATCCTGGATATTAAAACCACAAAGAATCTGGCAGCTAACAACCACATCTCTATCCTTGCACTACCGTGTGCTGAACTGATACCTTTCTGTACAGGAAGTTTTTGAGAAAATCCTCATTGACTAAGGCTGTTATGAGCAAGAGATGAAATCGTGTAGAAGGCATATGCTGGAGCAGCCATGGAAAAATAAGCTGCAGCACACGCTGGGCTTCACACAAATCTGGCTCTCCTGAGCTGTGAGGCCAAGCAAAAGATGAGGTCACCGCTCCTCATGCTTGCTCATGTTCTTTGCCTTGTCCTCCCCAGGTAGCTTCAACTTGAAAAAAGACAAAGGAAGAAAAACCCCAAAACAAATCCAGCAGTAATGGCCTTAATGGTGTCAATACTGTTTAGGTCTCCAAATTATTCCTTACACAGTAGCTGAGTCATGCTGTGATGGAAATCAGTTTCATTTTTGGAGTAATGAGTTTATTGTGCTGATCAGAGTAAGGTGTATTTATGATGTGCTTTTGTCTTAGAAGTCCTGCTGGGAGCAGTAACCATTTTGGTATTTCCTATGGGCTAATTTCAGTGCAATTTTTATTGCTGCAATAGGTGAGCTCCTGGGTATTCATCACTGTAAAAAATTACATTATTTAACTAGGAGCCCATGCATTTTAGGAATTTAAGTTTAGACTCACTTTTAAAAATCATGGCTCAGTTTAACATGAAGCAATCTTTGAATAGCCTTGGTCTTTGAAGAAATGAATGTAGTAGCAAAGGTGAACTGGGAGTTGTTATATGCTGCTCCAAGTTATCCTTGATCCGGTTCTAGTAGGAAATGAAGGTGAAAAGGGAGAAGGGGGAGGCTGTGTGTTGCTGACAGCTCTTCTGTTCCAGTTATTGAGGCTGGAGCAGTGGACTGTGTGCTGGCTCAGGTCACCTACTTAGCCTGGTGGTTAGTGCAGCAGTTTGAGGGATACTGAGATAACTTTTGAAGTAATCGGATGTCGCTGACAGGTCTAGAAACTATCTGGAAAGCTCTGAGGACAGAATTGATTTCTGCAGTAGTCATCCTTAGTCCCTATTGCATACTGCATTGAAGTGTTTTTTGTGTGTGTGGTTTTTTTGCTTATTTTTTTCATTTTCTGTTTTATAAGAAAAGCACCTAATGAAGGTCTTTGAAGTTGTTCAGATAATACTCATGATAGAACCATTTCTAAATCTTTTCCAGAGCCACATAAAGTCAGTGACAAGCTGTGGCAATTTTTAAGGGTACCAGTGAATCTGTTTCTATTTTTCTTTAGTAAACCTTATTAACCAGGGTTTAAATAGTTTCAGAAAATAGTGCCAAGTGTCTGTAGGTTAAACCAGTTTTCCTCAGATTCCTGGTTTAGCTGGGACGTAAAACCAACTTTAAATTAGATGATTACTTTGTTCATGCAAATGCATTCAAACTGTGTTTTGGACCGTACATTAACAGTGCACAGTGTGTCACTGCTAACTGTGGGTGTTGCATGAGCATTGTTTTAAGTGAAAGTCCATTGTTGGCAAAGGCAGTTCACAGTCACCCTCCCAGAGCATCTGAACTACACTGAGTTGTGATCTTCATCCATGTTCCTATCTCTATACTAAAATCCTCTTCCAGTGCTTTAAAATTTTAGTTTAAGGATAAACCATTGTGTTTTCCAATGAACTAAGCATGAAACCCTGCCAGGTGGTAGTATATGGGGGGCTTATGCAGAAGAGGATGTTTGTTCAGAGCCAAATTTAGGGAGTTTGAAGTTTCATGGCAGATTCTCCATTATTGGTTTTGAGGCCTGTAAATATGATTCTCAATGTTTGCAGACAGATCTTTGCAGTAAACCAAACAGTTAAGAAACAGAACAGTGATTTTTCTTTTTGCATAGGCCTAACGGTTCATTCAGTAGAAACTAGAGCACTTGTCTCAAGTGCCCACTTCACATTAGCTTCCATCAGAAAAGGTGCTCCAGTCACTTCTCAAATCAACAGCATCAGCAGGGCTCTCGGAGAGCCAGGAAGCAAATGTGCCTGGACCATGAAATGGTAAAAGGGTAGCACCAGTTTCCCTACTCTGCCAGCTGGAAACCTCTGCTTGGTATATTGCAGATAAGTGTGAGTTTTCCCATGGGCAAGAGACCTTTCCCTCCCGAGACCTACTTCCCTCCAGAAGTAGCTGCCCCAGGCTACTTCTGCAAAGGGAGGAAAAAGGCAGTGGGTTTGTATTTAGGGGTGTGTATTGGTGCTCTGCAGCTACTGCCTGTGTGCTAGTATTCCCCAGCAGTGGTTGTAAGCTTGTGTGCCCTAGCTTTTGAAGGCAAAACTGCCTCATCCTTACGGTAAGAAAAGCGCACACAGCCAGATTGCTTGCATGAGATTGCTCTGACACCATGCCATGTCTGCCTCACTGAGAATGGTTTCTGGAGCCTTTAAGGGCTTTTGCTCCTGTTGGTTCCTGTAGCTGAAATATATGAACACTTGCTCTTAACTTCACTATCCATAGTGAAGTGCCTAAAGGATATTGCAATGTGTTTGACCCACCTGTCTTTAGGTGTGATCTCTATTTGGTGTAGAAGTCATGTAGTTCATAATACTCTTGCATCATATTGGTTTCTTTTTGAAGGACTGTTACAATTGAGTTGGGTGTGGATATCATGTGAACAGGGAAAAGGACTTCATAAAATTTTGCTAACCCAAGGGTTGAGAAAAGTCAAACCTTTATCTTAAAAATAAAGGTAAACCAGGGAAGGTGAAAGAGACAACTTGGTGAAAAAAAAAAGCTGGTGAAGGAAGGAGAGACAAAATAAGACTGAAGAACTTATATCATCAGTTGTTTTTCCACACTTCTGCAAATATCACGCTTATGTAGCTTTTATTGCTTTGCTAACAGTGCTGTTCAAGGATTAGCCTTTCACCTTGAGTCCTTTTTCTTCATTCTCTTTAAATTTGGTCAACCTTCAGCTGGCAGCAATGGCTCCCTTTAGGATGTGAAATGGCTAACTTTTTTACAGTGCAGTAGTAGCATCAGGGATAAGGGTCTAGCAAAGTTTTTGAGAGTGTTCTTCAAACTAATTCATAGTTTCTCATGCTACAGATAAAAACTTTAATTTGGGTTTCAGTCTTCAGTTGCTTTTAATATCTTTGTGATCTTTTCAAACTTGAATATCTTCTTTGGCACTGATACTTTCTTCCCTTGTTCCCCCTTTTTTTTATCATTCGTTAATTAATTTCCTTTTCTATGTTATTTTGATTTCCAGTCAGGCATATATTATAAAGCACTAGGTTATATTTAGAAGGTACTGTACCTCTGGAATAAGAAATCTCATTATGCTTGTGGGATATTATCCTATTTCAAGTCAGTTGATATAACTTGTCCTATGCCTGCATAATGCCTGATATCATGGCAAAAGGTTGTATCTTTTAGTGTTTGGATTGTTAGCCATAGTGAACTCTCTAGTTTCAAATACTTATTAAATAAAATACCAATAGTTTCTTAATGTTTACCTGCCTTTGCTGTAGCACACCAGAGGCAAACAGCTACGTGGTAAAGTATCATGTAAAACATTAGCTGGAAAACACTTCTGAGTATTCTTTACTGCTTCTGACACCAGAATTTCAAGCCCTGCCCAGTCCTCATAAGGATGATGTTACATGGACTCTGTCAAATTTGGGATCCTTTGAGGCCTGAAACAATATTTATTCTTCTGTACCACAGACCTGGTTTTAGTAAGGGAATGCTGTTGACCAGTGACACTGAATTAGGTGGGAAAACCTTGTCTGTGCTCTGACACTGGGGGGAGGGAGAAAAAAAAAGTTTCATTTGTGAGCCAAGTTACTGCTGTTGCATGTATAATGCAGCAGAACTTATGCAGCACTTGTTGCCTCCTCTGCTGTGGAGAGGGAAGACTGCCCAGAGCAAGGGTGTGACGGTGTGGGAGGAAGCCAATGTAGCTGTTAACAGTGGGAAAGCTGGAAGGGTGTAGTTGGAAACATGAAGAATGTGGGGTTTTCCTGTGGAATTCCATGGAACTATGAGACAGTCTTGGCTGGTGTTCTTTCTTAGCAGTGCAGCTTCTGATGGTGCCAGGGGACTGTTCAGAACAGAGCCCAAGTTGGAGATAGAGACTTGAAATACCTTGGGTTAACTGTAAGAAAGTCCCTGTGCTTTTCATATGGAGAAGACAAACCTGGGCTATTGACTGACACAATAGAGCTGAAAGACATTGTTTTGCTTTTTGAAGAATTTGTCTGTGCTTCTTAATACACGCCAGGATGTCCAGTAGGTTGTTTAAAATTGAAAGTATGACTTACACCACTGTTGAAGCAAATATTGGCTTGGTTGATGTTCATCACTGCAGTAGGCCATCCTATTCCTTTAGTCACTTGAAAGGGATGAATTAAGAGAAAGACAAGTACTGCAGTAGCAGACAAATTTTTCTTTCATACTGTTCAGGAACTTGCACTCCAGTATGGGATTATGATGTAAAAAAAGTATATGCAACAAAAACCAACCAAACAAAAACTCAACAAAAAAGCCCCAAACAACAAAAAAACCCCAAACACCAACAAACAAACCAGTATGCAAAAAAACCCATGTTCAGGTGTTTTGCTTGAATCTTCTAAAGAGGAATATCTACCATAAAAACTAATCACTGAGCTAAAGGACAGAGGGGATTTCATGGTTTTAAAATTGACTGATATTGGAATTTTGGCCATTGGAATTCTGGATATTGGAAAATTGACAGGCTGTAGGCTAAACTAACATTAGGAAATTTGGATCAACTGAAGAATTTTCAAGTTCTGAAAGACTGTTTATAAAATAAAAATATTGACAAGTCTTTTATAGCTCACTGAGCAGAGCTCATATCTGTTGGGATTATATTGCCAGAGATGAGTTTGCAGTTTGCTTGTGTTATTTAAAATGCTCGGAACTGGTTTGCTTTAAGATGTTGTAAAGGGCTATTTTACATTTTGCTATAAGGAAGTAGGGGAAAACATCTTTGTCATTAGAAGCAGTTTCCAATCTCTAAAGTGGGCATTTGGGGTATCTTTTTTGTTCTCTGGAGTACATAATTAATATTTGTATTCCAACAATTCTCAATCTCTGTGAAAACAAAGGATTTTGAAAACCTATGTGTAATGCTCATGTGCATCTAAAACAAACTTACATATATTGCTGCGTTCGTGTTGTACCCAAACGTACATGGCAATTGGGGTGTTCCAGGCCCAGCATTATTTCCTGACTGATAGTATAAAACAGACCAGCTTTCAAAAGGAAAGAATGATTTGTACAGACTCTCAGCCCAGCAAGGCACATGAGTAAGTTCCTAGGTGGAAAGGGTGTGAACTGCTCTTGTGGCTTCAGTGAAATTAGTTTAGTTCCTTAAGTTATGTACAATGTTGATCAGTTTGTTGAAGATAGTCCTAATGTGGTTAATATGAACAAGTTTGAGCTCTTAACACAGCGACATAAGTGTTTGCTTACAATGGCTCCTGCTTTCAGTGAGGTTAAAGAATGTTGCACTTCTCTGTGAAAGTTATCATAGCTACCTGACATTTCTAGTACAGCATCTTTTTTGGACTGGCTCTGTGTATAGCCAGGATTCATTTTGCTGCTTCCAACTTTAGCCAAATGTTCTCTGCAGTTCAGTATGACATTTCAGTTATTACTTCAGAAACCTGAAAGGTTTAGCAATATTGCAGATTTCCATCTTTCCTAACATTTTGGCCTTCATACCGAGGATGCAGTCACTACGTTTTGACAACATATTTTACATTTCATTTTCCGTGCAGTGTTTTATTAGATTAACTCAGATAGGAAGAATGGCTTCACATTTATCATGAGTGACTTGCACATTCAGTCAAACACTGTGTGATATTGAGTAGTTTAAATCTCCAGTGTATGAACTGTAAATTAACATTAAAGGCCTCTCTTAACATCCATTACTCTGTTTAAACAGTCATGCAGAATTATTAGTTACAAGTAATTTCTTCTTGAATACAAATATATCATCTGTTCTAATGCTGTCTTAGCTCTTGATCTGCATGTCATGAAGAGAATATCCTAAAATTAAGAAATGGCAGGGCTGAATACTGAAATGGATAATTGAGACGTATTGCCATTTAGTACAAGTTTCAAGTTTGCTTGCAACTCAAGTTACCAAATTTACTAAGAGGTAATGATACTCTCTTTGGTGAGCATGGTCCAAGAGGCTAAATAACCATCCTGCTGGGACTATTGATTCAGTGTTTTGATAGTCTTAGCATAAAAATCTGACCTGTGAAGTTGTTAAAGACGCACTCTTCTGTTGCAAGGGATGACTTTCTTTACTCAGTGAAGTAGCCCTTTTAGGCAACCAGGTACAACAGTGTGGAGAGTATTCACTACAGACTTTTTTCTTTTGATAAACAGAGAATTTCAGACTCCAGAGCTCTCCATTTATCACATTGCCCAAGTGTGAGCATCTTGGACATAGGCACGATAAATAAATCAGCAAAAACCCCACAGAGTATGCTACAGGATGCATTTCAGAGTGGAATCAAAAAGCAGAACTGTTGGTGAAGAGCTTGTCATTTCCAGTTCATGTAGCAGCTGTGAAAAACATCTTAGCATCTTCATAATACTGCAGCAGTTTATCGATTTGCACTATAAGTACTAGGATTTCTGCTTCCTAAGGAGCTTAGGAAGCCCAGTGACATGCACTCAATACTTCTGAAGATTGAAATGGGAAACTATGGCTACTGAAATCTGTACTGTTAGCACCCATCCATGATAATACTTTCTTACTGTTTTTCTACATACTCACCTCACTGCAGTGTGTCTCTACCTGCTTCTCCTGCTTCCTGTTACCTTTGCTGACTCTTACTGCATGCTTTGAGGTGCACAGTGCTATACAGTAAAACCTTACCTCCTCATCCCTTCTTGCAACCTGCTGTGCGTATTTTTCCAACCTCATGTAGCTAAACAAGGCAAATTAGGGAGCTGGAAATTCATTAGTTCTTTTCAGAACTTGTGATCATGCCTGAATATTACTTGTTTTAAGCTACATGGGGATTAAGATCTTTTGAAGTTACTTGATTAGTGTTTAGGGAAAATTAAATGCCAGTTTAAGCTTCTGGTCTTTTGTAACAGCATATAGAACTCCAGCATTCAAATTTATGCTTAAAACAGCTGTTATAGAGTCATATTTAACCAGAAATTAATTAGCCTGGAAAAAAAAAAGACTAAAACTTGATTATATTTAAGTTTGTATTTCAGTTTCCATCTGTGGCGAAATCAAAACCTATTCAGCCTTATGATCATTCATGGAGATAGCTTAATTTTTATTCTTATAGATTTCAAATTTCTTGCTTATTGTCTTTATATATTAAAAATGACCTTGTTTTAAAATTCGTCATGTTTTAACTTTCTTAGTAGGACCATTATCATGCACAACTAGTTGAAACTTCTGCAGTGAAAAAAGGCACATGCTCTAGTAACAGAAGCGTGGCTTTGTCCCTGTATTTGCACGGCTTATCTGATCTGTGCAAAAGCTGATCTGTGTTGATGCTTAATAATAGCATATGGCAGCTGGCTGTATGTAATGGCTGATCAGTTGTTACAATTAATACATTTATACCTAAGATATCCTTGTTTTTCTATACCTAATGCTCACTGTACCCATCACTAGTGTGATACTGAGTGCCCTGCATAGATAGAGAGATAGACAAGCATCCACGAAGCAGTCTCGGATATAGCTGTTTTGCAGAAATATTTGATGAGAAACAACTCTCCTCAAGCAATAAAACCTGAAGCAGTTGACTGCTTAAATTGAAGTATACATTTGAAGTGATCTTAAAAAAACAATAAAACTTTTCCCAGCATGTAAGCTTTGTGTGCTGTGAGGCGGTCATGCCAAATGCCTTTTGGAATAACTGCGGTATAAATAGTGGTCATGCCCATTCTGTGCAGCAATAAAAGGGTGTCTGTTGCTGATTATGTAGACATCAATGTCTTCTACTATCAATATTCACTTTGTGGCAGTCTGGTGCAACCCTAGATAAATTAGGCTATAAGGTGCTTTTAGAAAGCAAATGTTGGTCTGTCAGGAAAAGTCTATGCTTTAAGCTTGAATGAGCTTAACCTGTCAAGACTGAGGTGCCTGCAATGCATGTTTTAAATATTTTTAGTTCACATACTCATTGGACAAAGAATCTTCTGCTTCTTCCTTATAACTGTAATAGCTACTGCATTAGTAGCTCTCTGTGGATCTGCTCAGGAACAGCTGTAAAAGTGCTGTCATCATGGCAGCATGAAGATGTTAGGAAGATTTTTGTTCCAGCTGACTAAAGTCTACAAGTAACATTCAGAGGTCTGTGTATGTGTGAGGGGCATGATACAGTCAAGCACTAAGACAAGACTGTAAAGAATTTAGTGGGCTGGTAATGCCTACATCTTCTTATCAAAACCTGCTGCAGTTGAAAAGCTTGCGTCTTGTAGGTACAGGGATGATGATAAACCCTTACCTGGGGGGAGCAGGTATTTAGTTGGTAAAATTTAATTTCTCTTTGAGTTTTGTGCTTAGTACATTTTCTAGCTTCATGTTCACATAACAGCATCCCTTATTTTTTTGTTTTAGTTTTATTTCTTGTGATTAACATTACACTATTTATGCTAATGAATTCATCTGGGGTTGATGTGCAGTGTGTTCAAGCTGGAGTTTGTACCCTCCTAATCCTAGGTCTCCTTCATGAATATCTTCCTTGCCTGTAGCCTGGGTAGAACCTGTTCTGTCCCACACTGGCATGTGAGCAGACGATTCATAGTTTTCAGTCAATTCATCATTATTTATGATATAATCTGTGTCATCATCCTTCAGTTGATCCTGCATTCAAACAAAGAAAAAATCAGTGGAAGGAAGACTCTTGAGAAGGAATTTTGTTAAAGCTTAAATGGAGAACAATTCTAAAGCAATTCCACTTTCATCTCATTATTTGATTATTTTTTCAGGTATTAATTTACCACCTTGATGTTGATTTAAAACAAACAATTGCTTACCATATTCTGTTTTCCAGCAGTGTTGAGAAACATAATCTACCCTTCAGATCTTAAAGATATAATTTCAGTCTTAAAATATCACTCATGCAGCCAATTCTTTAAGCACCTGACTGAATTATTTTCAACATGTCACTCATGTTTGAATCTCTTGCAGTATTACTGGCCATTCTTGAAAATGCAACAGTGTACCTTCTGAGACCTCTTATCCATTACCCTGAAGAGATTGTGTAATGATGAGCCTTGAAAGTAATAGGCTTTGGAAAAGGGAGTTTACCAAAGTGTTCTGTTGAGGATGGCAGGGTTTGGATTATACCTTAAATAAAATTAAGCAAAGTGGGTACTTACATCATATGCACTGGGGCTGGTCAGAAGCCTGGCAACAGGATTACACCATTCAGGTAGTGTCGTTGTAAGTGGTGGACCAGCATGGGTTAAGATAGGTTTTAGGTATCTGTAAAGTTTGTTAAAGAATATTTCTTATAGAAATATTGTTACTAACATGTTTTTCTAGTACACAAAGAAATCCCTTTTTAAATAAGGGAATCATCTAACTGAATGGAAACAGAAAATACCATCTCTTTATCCATCCGTTACTGCAGACCTTCACCTGTCATCAGAGTTGTCTAATGTTTTTCAGTAACAACAAGCCAACCCGCACACCAAACCAAGCAAAAAAACCACTCCTCATCCTGCTCAAAACCAAACCCCCAAACACAAAATAAACCCCCAAATATTTTGATGCTCAAAGTGTGTTACATTCTGAGGGCTATTGGAATGGCTGATGGGGATGCGTTGTGGAATACTAAATGCAGTAGGAAGTGGAAGAGAGGAAATGTGTACTAGATTATCCTGTTTACTATTATCATCTATTGTTTGCTGTAAGTGTTTAACAGGAAACAAGTTAAGATGCAACTGTATCAGTTGCTTTGTGTAAGAACAGTAGCGAACACTTTCTGAAACATACTCAGCCTTTTGTAAAATCAATGCATTTTTCTTCAGTAGGCAAAGAATATTTTGGCTAATAAATTTATCGCTGGGAGTGTGTATAAGTTATGCACAACACTGGCTTTTCCACATTCAATGTATTTATTTTACATTTCATATGTCAATGCTTCTTTCTATAAAATTATGTTACTATGTTAGGAACAGGCTTTAAGCTATTGTCTTGCACCTATCTTTCCAATATTTTAATCCAAAGGTGCTTTATTGAGATAAAAGAAAAACCTGCTCATCTTGAACAATTATATCATCCTCATATCTGGCAATAACCACTTTCCCATGAGTCCCTCAAGTTGACTTATCTTCTCTGCTACTTTTACTTGCAAAATAATTTTCAGTGTTCTTAGGAAGCAAGTCTGTCAGCTATTTTTGCTGTTAAGGAAAATTTGCTTTATTGATTGCTGTCCTGCTTTCTCTCCCCTGCTCCTTTCTCTTGCTTGCTTTCTTGTGCTTTCTCCCTCACACTTTCTGCCTCCTTAAAGAAGGAGGGAACAAATGTAAAACAGCAGTGGTTAGAGCTCTGCATCAATATTGTAGAAATACTGAGTAACTAACAGTGAGTCCTAACCATTCCTGTGTCTCCTTTTCTTTATTGGTTGTTTATGGTATCACTGTTTTACTCAAAGTACAAATTCTGTATTCTGAGAAATGCTATGTAAAATATATATCCTAATGATCTTGGTTACAGATTGAAAGGCTTAACAACTTGCTCTGCTATCCTCTATGCTATAGCCATGTAAGTTCTATAGTATCTGGTGTGGTTCTACAGTATTTGTGCATTTTTTATTTTTTATTTTTAACTGAATCTGTCAGAAAATTGTACAATTCCTTTGTCCGAGGTCTCATACTGAGTTAGTGTGAATTAAAAAAAATATTGTAATACTTTAATTTAAATTCTTATCAGGTGATGATCAGGGTGGAATCTCATTAAGTCAAATTGTAATTAGGAAGTTTAGATCCTCTTGCTTCTGAAAGAATAAAATCAAACAAAAAAATCCTTTTCTGATCAACTCCCAATTTTATTTGAAATCTCTGAAGGGCCAAACAGTTAAGAACTGTTATTAAAAGCTATATGTGAAAGCTGTCATAATTGTTTTCATCATTTCAGAAAAACATACTTTCATTTCTGGTTTTGTAATTAGGAGCCTAATTTCGGATTTTTAATCTTTGGAAATATTGTCTTTGTTAGTACAAACAACCTGGATTGTTTGAACTGAGTTGTCAGACCCAGCCTGAAAAATACAGGCTTATAATGGAAGTTTTGTATGATTATACTGAATTCCATCTGCTCTGTTCTTTTATTCTCTTAGAACAACTAACTGAAGATGAATATTCCTCTACACTTCCTCCTTTACCCTGATGTTCACGGGGATAGGTCTTAAGCTAAGCTGCCTTTTAACTTTGTAGTGAGCTTTTCCACCTCATAGTAAAAATTGGAGTCCTGTTTTCTTGCATTCTTGCACGGAGGCCAGCACTAAATCAGATAGGAATAAGGTGTGCATTCTGAAACAGGCAGTCTACTTAGCCACCACAGTAGTCTTCAGATTTTTTTGAGACACCACTACTTTTAGTGCACCTGGTGTGCTTAATTTGTTGCCATATGTGTACGCTGGTGTTCTTGAGTGATGGCTTTATTTTGGGCTGCAGTAGGTCCTCCAATTCCCCTTTTCCTGCATGTACTCTAACACATTCATCGTGTGTTGTCCATGCTTCTGCTTTGAGGCCTCTTGGGGTGCAGTTTAAAGTGAAGACAGTTTTCTTGTGCTTGTTGTGATGCTTCTGATTCTGCAATGAATTATTTATCTCTTCATTCCTTACTTAACTAGCTACTATTCAGCCTGCTAAAGGGACTTAAATTCCACTGTCCTATTTTTCATTGTTTTAATAACCTATGCCTTAAACGTTTTCTCCTTATTGTTGACACAGTTGCTTTATGGTATTACAGGTATAATCACATCATTCAGTGCAGCATGAAAGAGGAATTCTAATCCATGTGCAGTGCTGGCATTTCAAAAGTATATCAGACTTGGGTCTATAGCATTTTAAGGCTGGCAAGAAGTCTTATCACACTCCAGCTGCTCTGGTTGCATCTCCCAGCATCTCCGTGGAGAAATTATTTAAATAGTGTAATATAAAAAGGTAAATTTTACATTAAGGCTGCTTTAAAAATTGGAGGAAAATAAGTATAAACCTCAGCATAACTCATAAATTACTGCTGAAGTAAACTCATGCCTTCCTAAGTCATGGATAGGGAAAAGATAGCAGGAATATATTTCATCAGTCATCCCACTTCTAGATTTGCACTTCAGGCTTCCATCGGCCAAGCAGCCCATCTGCATAGCTCAGCTTCTACACTAATAATATAATATAATATAATATAATATAATATACAGTAATATACTGTGTTAAACATTAATGTTATAAAGGTGGTATCTTCCAGTTGTGGCTTAAGCTCAGACAGCAACTAAGTACCATGCAGCTGCTTACTTTGCCCTTTCTCCCAGTGGGATGGGGAAGAGAACTGGAAAATAGGTAAAACCCTGTGGGTCGAGATGAGAACAGTTTTTAATAAGTGTGAAATAAAAGTAAAATATAATATAAATAGAAGGAAATAGAAAGGAAGCAATAAATCCTGACACCTTCCCCCCCCAAAAGACCCAATTCAAAACAACAAACCCCTAACAAACAAAAAAACCCAGAACACAGGTGATGCACAATACAATTGCTCACTACCCACTGACCAACACCAAGCCAGACTCAAGCAGTTATCAGTCCTTCCTGGCTAACTCCCTGCAATTTTATATACTGGGCATGATATGCTCTGGGATGGAATATCCCTTTGGCTAGTTTGGGTCAACTAGCCTGTCTCTGCTGCCTCCTGGCTTCCTTTGCTCCTCCTCACTGACAGAGCATGAGAGGCTGAAAAGTCTTTGGTCAGGGTAGGTGCTACTTAGCAAAAACTAAAACATCTCTGTAATATCAACATTATTCTCGGACTAAAGCAAGAAGCAGCATTGTACCAGCTAAGAGGAAAATGAACTCTATCCCAGTCAAAACCAGGATGCTTCTAGGTTGGGAAACTGAATTCAAGATGCCTGTATATGCACATGTATAGAATTTTAGTCAGTTTGCAGTACTGGCATATTAGTGTGCCTTACTTTCTTAATCAAATAACAATTTTCCCATTGATTCACCATATCTGCAGTCTTCCACTGTCAGTTCACGTGCCGAGAAATGTTTACTCTGAGTCCTCTCATTGATATTTGAACATCCCTTTGTCCAGGCAGATTGTCTTCCCTTGCCACTAGCTAGGCACCTCTCCCATCCTGTCTCACTGACATCAGACTCAACACATAAATCTGCCTACCCCTTCCATGTACAGCTTCAATCTCTTTTGGGTTTGACTCCATATGATGTCCTCTTCTCTCCTGCCCAGCAATAAGCAAAGAAGGCAATGCCATTGTAGACAAGACAGTTGGTAAGTGTCTGAGCAACGTAACTTAGCTGAATCACAGGCAAGTTGTCTGATGGGGCTGATGAGGCTGAGCAATTCATAGAGGGGCTGTGAGAGGGTACAGCATGTTCAATAGCAACAGGACCTTCAGAATCTAGCTCTTGAAAATTAGTGTGTTTTTTTTTTTCTTAAGTGTACAAATAGCCAATTTTTCAAAGTTTCACAGTGTGATCTAGTTTAGGCTAAATGGCAAAAGGCATCTCCAGGGTTGAATATGAGGCTTTTCCTCTAAGTGCAATGTGTTTAACAATAATCCAATTGTCTGAAACCTCTGTGGTGGAAACTTTCCAGGCTTTTCAAGTATTGGGTAATATTGGTGAGAAACACTACTGCCAATAACCATATTGCCAAACATTTAGGATTTCCATTATGCAGGAAATTTTGAGATTTCAAAATAGTTTTTGTGTCATGTCAGAACGGAAAAAATTGGAATCTCAAAATTTCTGTTCTTATAGCCAATAAGCATCAATTACTGCACTGTTGGTAAAAATCAGTATTTATCCTTTTGATAAAATGGCACTAGCATGTTCAAACAGAAAAAAAAAAAATCTGGCAGAAACATCGTGGTTATTTTGAGTCAGACCTAAAGGAGGTTCACTTTTCTTCTGTTGGAGGAACTGATTCCCAATCCAGCTGTGGCTCTGCTGAAGAGTATAATAGTAAGAGAAATAACTTGCAGCTGAGGGGATGGGGACAGACAAAACCCAATGACAAATACCTCACAACAACAACAACAACAAAAACAACCAAAAGCAAACATCTGCCACACGCCCCACCAAAGCAGACAATGTGGCCACTGTTAGAAATATGTATAGCAGTTGTGCTTCAACTCAGAACCCTGTATTGGCCCAGGAGGTGTTTGCCTTTTGCCTCATTGCATAATGGGGGCTCTGTAACTCAAGGTAATCCCATCCTCCCTTCCTGCCAATATGCTCATG